TATTATTATTATTATTATTATTATTATTATTATTATTATTATTATTATTATTATTATTCCCAATTTCACCAAGCTAAAAGGAGCCAAGTGGACTATTGATTTTGTTGGAGCAATGGACCTGAAAGAAATAACAGTTTGTCTCTTCTTCATTTGCTGTTTTAATGGTCAAAACCTGTGCTTTTCTCCTTTTCTTTGTGGACCTTATCTGGTAATGAGACGCAAAAAAATCCCATTGTCCAGCCTTGAAGCTCTTTTTAAGCCTTGATTAGAAGGGTATGAGAATCTTTGCCAAATTGAGCAATCATACTTCCTTCAGTCTTATAGCTGAAGCTTTCTTTGGGGCTCAGAAATATTACCACAAGCCCTTTTGCCAGGGCTGGTCCCACTCCTTAATAAAAACAGCAGAGACCAGCAATCTTCCTGCTGTTTTCTCTCATTTTCACTGTGGGAGAGGAAGACAGGCTCCAGGGCTTTGATGTGCAACCCTTGTAAATCCATCGATGATGCCTTATATGTGCGCTCATGTGAGTCCCAACCAGCTCCAGCTCTTTGAAGTGCTCCAGTGATCAAGATGAAAGTAGTGAGGGGGAAGAGTCTTTCAAAAGCCATCAAGCCCTAATTGCAGGTAATAGAGCCTCTTGGTATCCCATATGGAGGAAGGGGGAGCATCCCCAGTTTCTCTAATTCTGCAGCTAAATTCTGGGCTCCTGCAGTGAAAGGAAGTAGCATACAGAGAACAAGACTTGGGGAACATTGGGAAATGGCTCCTTGCGGTGAGTCATGGTGGGCCTTCAAAGGAAGGTTGGGACAGACTTCTACATTGTGGCAATGGTGCTTCAGGAATTGTAGTCCTACACACATGGAAGACTCCAGACTTTGGAAGACTCGTTCCAAAATATCATTGGTAAAAATCACTACAGTGCACATTAGGTTGTAAATCATTCCCAGACTATGTTCTTAGGGGTGTTTATATTAATTAATTTTCCAATCCATAACCAACGCCGGTATTTTTTCATTTGTAATCATAGAACTGGAAAAAAAAGTACTCCATTGAGTTGAATTTCATCTTGTATAATGCTGCAGAATATAAAGTACATCAACTGCTCAAAACCATGTAATCAGGAGTTTAGAATTAACTTGTTTTCATTGCCCTGATTTCTTTGCCATCCTGAAACTTTTAAACATTTTGTGTTATTTTACTGGCAACCAGGAAACTGACAGTTAGTTGGGATGTGATTGTTACTTATGATTACAATTCTTCTTCTTCTTTTTTTTTACAGCAAGTAACCAGTGAGTCAATTTGCTTGCTTAGATTTTCTGAAAAAAACTTGCTCCTAATTTCATCATGGTCTGAATGTGCAATTGGTGACATTATAGGGCAAGGTTTTTTCAATAGTAAAGCCTAGAAAATATAGCTCTTCTTGAGTGGCCATCATCAGAACCTGCTCTATCTTGCCTTACATGCAAGTTTGCAAGGAAAGGGCTTGAGCATCATAGGAGTTGTAGTCTAACATGTCTGCTGGGATAAGTGGAAGTTGGATCTTCATCAGGCAGTAAGACTACAACTAACTTTCATTTCAGATTGCCACATCAGCTGATGTCCCTTCATTCAAAGAAGAAATGCCAAAGTCACACAGAATACAGAACTTGAGGCTGAATGGACAGGTGACACCAGATCAACACAAGCACTATTGGCCATTACAACAGGCTTCAAGGAACCAGTTGGCATCACTTCAATCTGCGGAAATACTCCCAGAAGAGAAAACACCTTTTGTGCTGGACTTACAAAGCCTGACAGGCTTAGCCAATGTGGATCTGAATGCCCAGAATCCAAACATACAGGTAGGCTGATGATTTCCTTAAGCTACTCTTGCTAGTCTAGCCACAGACAAATCAAAAGTGGAAGAATCCTTTGCATCTTTCTTTCTTTCTTTCTCTTCCCTTCTTCCCTCTTTTCCACAGGCTTGATTTTTTTCCCCTCCTCATTCTCCTCTATTGAGGTGAGCAAACATGAGAACTGTTAACTTCCCTAAAATTATCCAGTGGTTTTCATGAGGAATAGCAAGGTTGTTTCTAATATACCCCCCAAAAAACAGACTCTAACCCCAAAAAAGAATGACTGGGTAATATATAATTTAGTTTATTGACTTTTTTTTCAGATCAAGAGAAACTTGAGAATATTTCAATAAAGAAATAATAACAATAGCACTTAGACTTATATGCCACTTTACAGCCCTCTCTAAACAGTTTACATATTGCCCCCAACAATTTGGGTCCTTAGAAGGATGGAAGGCTGAGTAAACCTTGAGTTGGTGAGACTCAAACTGCTGAACTGCTGGAAGTCAGCAGTCAGCAGAATTAGCCTGCAATACTGCATTCTAACTACTGCACCACAACAATAATGTCAAAATTAAATTGAAACTATGAGATTGATAATTCCATACATAGAATAATGTAATATTAATCTACTTCTAAATGTGTTTCTTAAAGTTTTACATCATTTAATACAATAAAGATTAAAATATATATTAAAAAGTAATACAAGCTCATGGCTATAACCTTTATCTAAAGCAGGGGTCGCCAACCTTTTGGACCTCAGGGACCACCAAACGCATAATTTTAGATCCCAGGGACCAGTAACTGGTTCTGTGGGTGTGGCCTAATTTGTGGGTGTGGCTTGGTGGTCATGTGACTGGCTGGGCATGCCTTGTATGTAAATATTATAAATATTTATATAAATATTTAATTTTTTATAAAAAAAGAGCAACTTTTACCCAAAATCAGGCAAAGCAGGCAGATTGAATTGCTTACAGAATCGTTCAGTGATCTATCTATCTACCATCAGCTAGCTCAGTCTCTCAAATTTGCTTGCCATGAGTCTGCACTGAATTTGCTTGCAAGCAAACCTTCAGTCCTAAGGTTCGGCTGTACTTAAAAGCAGAGCTGAAGATCTAAAGACTAGCTAGAAAGCAAGAAATCCAACCATTTCATGCTTCCTAGCTAATCTAAATCTCCCAGCACAGCAGCACAGATGATGGTCAGAAAAAGAAAAAATAGCAATTTAGCAGGCAAGTTTACTGGGTAAGGAGTGAGTGGGAGGGGAGGGTTCCCGCAGGCCATGTGGGCGGCGCAGCCTTGTGTTTCTGTGCAGCCTGGATTAATTGCTTTGTGGGGGTGCTCTGGGGGTGAGATTTCTCTGCAGCCCACCAAAATTTTCTCACCAGTTGGCGACCACTGGTCTAAAGTATTTGACTGATCATATCTTATATTATTTAGAGTGAGCAAGGAAGGGGAAAAAGAAAAATGTGATATTGTTATATTGTTTACCTCTCTGGTATCTCTACCAGATGGGCCAATATTTTCAGATTAATAATGCAAATTTAACAACTGTGTGAGTGTCAGCTAAGTAAATGAGCTTATTGAATTGTCCCTCCAAATAAATACAAAGCAGAATTGTATTATATTTGTATACACAATAGGGAAATTTACATTCAAAATGGCATAAGAGAAGGACTTTATTTACTTTACTGTACCTTGGTCTACTTAATTGAACTCAAATACTAAAATAAGGGTATAAAGAGTTTTGAGCTGTGCGATAGAGAGTTTCCAGTCCAGTTTATTAGATCTCTGCAAGAGATCTTGAAAGGAAGGTTTCAATGCATGGGAGCATATTCAAAGCAACCTCTATCAAATACTTAAAGCAATTATTTCTCTTTCTTTTAAGAATTCAAGACAAAATATTTTACATACAGTTCTGCATATTCCAAAGGAACTCTTTCAAATAATTTGTTCAATTTTATTTGTTTCTTACACGATTTAATGTTTTTTGAAGAACTGTTGTAGATCACATCCAAAGCTTATGTAACTCATCATGTTATTTTCACATTTGCCTGCTGCCTGCCTATCAAACTGAGGATAATTCATAGTTATTGGGATTTGTAACCATGGATAGCCTTAATTTCCATGAATATGCTTGGCCCTTCTTTTAAAGCTGCGGTGGTTGTGTCTATCATTACCTTCATAACAAGATACCTTTGTTAACTATACAGTTTGCAGATACCTGTCTTCTCTGAATCTTTCATCGTGGAGCTTTATTGAATGATTCCAGATTCAAAAGCTATGAAAGAAAGAGGGAAAGAAACTTTAGCACATTCACACAATCCATAATTTATATCCCTCAGATAAAGGTAAAGGCAAAGGTTTCCCCTGTCTAGTCCTGCCTGACTCTAAGGGAAGGTACTCATCTCCATTTCTTAGCCGAGGGAGCTAGCATTGTCCAAAGACATGTCCATGGTCGTGTGGCCAGCATGACTATATGCCAATGTGCACTGAAGTGGTACCTATTTATCTATTCGTATTTGCATGCTTTCAAACTGCTAGATGGCAGGAGCTGGGCCAAGGATGGGAGCTCACTCTGTCTGGTGGTGCTTGGGTCTCAGAGCTGAGCTATTAGCTTTCCAGCTGACAAGCTCAGCTTCCTTAACCACTGAGCCATCGCGCGCACACCCCATCCCTCAAATAGTTACGCTCAAATAAAAATGAAAATATGCAAATAGAGTTTGAAAATTTTAATTAAGTTGGAAGGAGAATAGGTGAGTGTGAAGAATAGTTTTTAGAAAGCAGAAAGTCAAGAGCTACAAGGACTTAATTTTTCGGACAGGAAAGGTAAGACGTGAAAAAGACATATAGAGAGTTGAAGGTAAAATGTGCTGCTTACCTTTTGATTTAGTGCTGATGCTTCCAAAACAGTCTGATTCAATGCCTTGATTTCCAGGTGACCATTGAGGTGGTGAATGACCCTCAAGCAGAGATGGAGATGGACTTGCTGAAGGAGACTAGCAATGACTGGTCCCTGTCTTCCTCTGACTGGTTATCTCATAAGGACCTCTTTTGGCCTCTTTTCTGGGAATACACAGATCCCATAGAGGATGGTGATGACAATTTGAACATAAAGAGCAGGGACGAAGAAGAGGAGGAGGAAGAGGAAGATTATACATCGGAGTATGATGAAGAAGAAATAGTTGTGAGTGGAGTGGGGGGAAATTGGCATCAGAGGTGGCCTAATCGAAAGAATTGGATCTTAAAAGAGAAATACAACTATGGTGAGTCTGCCTTTTTTGCTCTTAGTAAATCTGATCTGCTGAGTATATCCTTCTTCCATTAAGGGTCAAAAAACAATAGCTGGTGAACAGTTCATATTATATGATCTCACTGTGTGTAGAATGAGCTTGTTAAAACTGAGCATTTTTCATTCATTAATGGCATAAAATGTACACTTTCCTTTATATTGTATACTACAAACAGCTTTTCCCAATCAGATTGCTACACACACACACACACACACACACACACACACACACACACACAAACATACATTACTGAGGAACAAAAGGATGAGTACAGCTTCCAGAAGTCCCATCCATTGATCGAGTGTGTGTGTGTGTGTGTGTGTGTGTGTATCTCACATTAAGAACCCTGGGGAAAAACTAAGCCTTCATGACAGAAGTATAGCTCACACTGAATTCTTCTATGTATCTTCTATGTAGGAGGATTGTAACTTTGTTCTTCACCAGACTTTGTTGAATCTTCATGTGTTTTGTTTTATGTTGTTGTTGTTGCTGCTGGCTTCAGATTATGAAGACGAAGAGGACTGGAGTCCTTGGTCTTCCTGCAGTGTAACCTGTAGCAATGGCCATCAGAAGAGAACCCGGTCTTGTGGTTATGCATGCACAGCCACAGAATCAAGAACCTGTGAACTGCAGCACTGTCCTGGTATGTTCTAATTTTCTTGGCTGCAATATTTCCATAGGCTCTGCTTTAACATTAACACTTCAGAGTTATTCATTCATTCATATCAGCCTATGGGCATGCTCTATTGCTATCTCATCTGGACCAGGTAGAAATTCTTTTGAGTTTTTAGAAATTGTCTTTTCAGACATCCTATGAGAACTAATGTGGAATCTGAGAAGGAGGGAAATGCTTTTGGCTATGATCGCTCTCCCATTCTTTGCCCTTGAATGTTGAGAAGTCCTTCTTCCTCCATTTCCTTGATATTATAAAATGAAGATATTTCTGGAACTGGATTGTCTCCTGCAGTAAAGCAAGATTTGATGACAGTCTTGAAAAATCAATGGATCCATTATTAACGGCAACCATTTCCACTATACCTTTACTCAGCTGTTTGATACACCAGCTCTATTGAGGCCATCAGCCGAAAGCCTACTGTGAAGTTCAAAAGAAAGCTTTTAACCCTTCCATATGTGGAAGCAGATTGTAGTCTTGGAAATGATTAGAAAACTAGTGGAGGAACATGTTCAGTTTCTATTCCTGTAGACCACGGGCGTCAAACTTGCAGCATCATGTTGCTGTCACGTGACATTTCATGATATTTTCCCCCTTCCCAGAGCTGGGGTGGGTGTGGCCTGCGCGTGGCACATCCGGCCTGCAGGCTGCCAGTTTGACACCCCTGTTGTAGACCTTTTACATAAATCAGATTGTATCTCACAGTGTACACTCTGACCTGTTTGCTTCTATGCTTTTCTCAAGGAGAAGTTGGGGAATTGGCTTCTACCACTGAAGAGACACCATTTGAAGCTGAAAATGCCACGGAGTTTCTAAATGCAGGCCAGTAAAGTCCTTGCCCTTAAGGCAATAATATTAGGATTGTTATTAAGAAATTGCATTGTTCTTAATTATTATTAAGAAACTGCATTGTAATGTGGATCTGTCTCATTCATACTTCTTAGAACTATATGTGAACAAAAGTATTGGTAACCTTTGACATTCAAATTTTGCTGTCCCAATTTTGTGCTGGAACAAATAGACATTAAGATATGCAAAGTTTTGTGGAGATCTTTATTAATCTGCAGCTGGATGCAGAAATAGAAAGAAAATACAATTAAGAGTGGAAAATAAGAAAATGAAGGGAATTGAAGTTAACGGATCCCTCCACTCTTAATTGCTACACTGAATAATTACTTTGCACCTTATCAGTGTGTCTATGTGTATCTGCTATTGCTACTACTGTATTTTCTATAGACCCAGAAAAATATATTTTTGTAGTAAGTAACTATTTCAAAATAGGCTCAAGGAACTCTGTTTTACTTCCTACTTTGCTATTTGTCCTCCAAACTTTTTGTAAATACCTGGGCTTATTCTCCAATATGCTTAAAATCACCCTTCCCCAATCTTTTGATATCTGCTGGATTACAAAATCCATAATTTCTAAGCAGTACGAGCCTCCTCACAGGAAGCAACATATTTATCAACTTCTTTGGCGGTCATTATGGTGGGAAAGGCTAAGCTGAACCATGGAAGCTGTAGTAAAAAGGATTTGCTTTCTGAGAATTTGGACGAAAATTCTAAGACATAAAATCTTATATTGATTTGATTCTTCCTTCCTTTCCCAGATGTGGATAGTTGTGAGAAATGGCTTAATTGCAAGAGTGATTTCCTCAACAAATACCTAAGCAAAGTGCTTTCAGACCTACCCAACTGTCCCTGCTCTTACCCTTTAGAAGCTGTTTATAATGCTGTAAACTTGCAAGATGAGCAGAAGGGCAAGAACTTCCGATGGCAGGATGCCAGTGGGCCAAAGGAGCGATTGGACATCTACAAACCCACAGCCCGTTTCTGCTTGCGTTCCATGCTGTCCCTGGACAGCACCACTCTAGGTGCCCAACACTGTTGCTATGATGAGAACACCAAGCTCATTACCCGAGGCAAGGGAGCAGGAGCGCCCAACCTCATAAGCACAGAGTTCTCTCCTGAGTTACACTACAAGGTGGACATGTTGCCTTGGATCCTCTGCAAAGGGGACTGGAGTCGATACCATGCTGTGCGGCCTCCCAATAATGGGCAGCAGTGTGCTGTCAACCCTCCAGAGGATGAATACCTGTCTCAACTACAGGAGGCCAGAGAATATTAATACAGCAACCAAAAAGAAGCTGAGGAGATCAGGACGTCCTTTCTGTCTCCCCGGCTCAACAACGTAATATGTATTGTTTCTCCAACCTCATCCCAATATTTATGTCAAAGATCTCTGCAACTTCAGAATTATATATTATTTTTTATCACCTTAGTAACAAGGTAAGTTTATAGGGCAGCTTAAGCAATTTCCTCAGACGTTCCAGCCCTGACTTCTCTATAACAACCTCTGCTTTCCTTTCTGTCTTTTCTCAACTCTCAGAAGTTGTCCCAAGCTGACTGGCTTTCAGGGGTGTTTCAGAAGGCTAGCAATTTGTCTGGAGGGATTTGGGACAAGAGAAGAGCCCAAGGTTTTAAGAGGATATCTTGATTCATTTGCTATTATGTTTACCATGTATTACAATGCAGGTTGTGAATTCCTTTTGCATAAATCTGATGGGTGCTCATGGTGTATGAAAGTCCAGAAATAGATTAATATCCCCAAATTATAAATTTAGATAAAAGGAAACTTTGTCAGAGTCTTTGTAGAGAGAAGAATCTGGATGCCTTTTTATGTAATTTTGGCATAGTCCTGGGAAAGAAAACAATACACCGTCTTGGTATGTTACATTCCATACATTTCAGGGAAAACTAGAAGATGAAGTGGAGATGTTAGAAGGTTAGGAATGCAATTTCCAGGATGGATATGGAACATGCTCTTACTAAGTGGAGATGAGGCTGACCTGCATCCAAGGCTGATGGAACAAACCAAATCCAGTTTCTATCTAGCCGAACAGATAACGTTTTGGATTGTGTAATCCTCACTCTCCTTAACCTCTCCTCTTTGAAATATGCTACAGGTATACATGAAAGAATCCAATTGCCCTAAGAAAGTACATATAACATTAATCCAGCTTTCCCTACCAAACTTGCATCTCTCCATATTTTCTTTCTATTGGGAAAAAAAGCTGGGAACTCTGAGTAATATATTCTTAACTTTTCTACAAGACATTAGATTAGGAAAGTCTTTCCTACACCATGTCCTTGAAAAACTCTCAGGATGGTGGAAGAGAAGATTGTACTTTGAGACCAAAATGTTCCTGCTGGCACAGTTTTGTGGTTGTGCTGGGCAGATGGTCCTTGGCAAAATCTGTATCTATGCTTACGCATTTTGTACTGAATTCTATCAGCTACTAATCCAGTCAAATCTCTTTACTGCTGCCGCTAACAGCATATGATAGCACTACCTCAGCAAAAGTCACCATTCTGCATACAGAGTCCTGACCCAATTTCTCCTGGAAGTGCCTGATATCCCATAAGCCATTGTGCCTAGAGAGGTTTCTGGTCTCTCTTACAGCTACAATTGAAAGGGCCAGACAGTCATAAAAGCCAGCAACTGGATAGGAAGAGAAGTCCTAAAGTATGCTGATAATCCAACTGAAGATCAGCTGATCACCAGCTTCCAAAAACCTCTCCTCCATGTCCCCTGGAAAGCCTGCCTGCAGATTCTTGGGCTGCAATGCTAAGGAAAACACTACTTTCATGCCAGAATACCTTAAACTGGATTCAGTTGCCTCAGCAGAAGGCTAATAGCAAGATGGTTATGTTGTGAAATTACGTTGAGTAACAGTTAACAAATCATTTTCATGCCACTGCAAGTAGGGCATACTGCTGAGGTCTTCTGACATCAACAACTTTTTCCTCAATTTAAGATAGATAGAAATGAGGTATAAAGGAAAGGGAGAGAAAAGCAAGGAAAGGAAAAAATGACAATACTCCCAGCTGCATTTATTCCAAAATAATCCCTATCTCTCATTCCTGCTGCCACCCTCTGTGCTGGCAATGCTCTCTACCATATTCCCATTGCATATCTGCTCTGCCAGTCCTTGCCCAACATTGTGATGTTTCCACAACCTGCAGAAAATAAGCTGCCAGAAAAAAAGCATCTCCAAAATCTAACCACCAGGTCAATTCCACCCAAATGGCCTATGAAAAGAAAAACATGTTTGTGGAAAGAAGGGAGCCAGCCTTTTGGGGGGGAGGGGGAAAAGAAACAGAGAAAGACCTAGATTCCCTAGCTGCCATAAAGCCCCCAAGAGTATTAAAACAATCCAGAAAGTGAGAGAAACACATTCAAGGCACATTCCTGCCATGAACACACAGCTGTGTTTGCCTGACTCATGACCTATCCCCATCACTAAGCCAGATGGGATATCAGAACATATAAACTGCACTGTTGGGTACATTGCTTATTTGTATCTGGAAAATAAGCGTATATTTTAAGAACTTTAGGGTAAAAATTTCTGCTGGGTTTTTAATCCTTATTTGGAATAATTATTGGTTGTATATGCTAAAAAGTGGAGCGACTTTAAGCAAGCCTGACCTGTCTGTGTATGTCTTTAGGCTTTCCAGCCAACCAATCCTAGGGAGACATGTTCAGAGACAACTAAATATGATAGTAAGTTTTATAATGGAGAACTGGATCTCCCAGCCATTCTATTGCTCAACTCAATTTCATCCAGGATTAAACAGGGAGGTCTCTATAGCTATCTCATTGTAGATTAGGTTGGGATGTCTGTATAACAGGGCTAAGCGAGGAAAGCCTCCTTAACTGGAGTATTTTGGATTACAACTGCCCTTGCATACTATAACAGGTTTTCGTGTTTATGCTATATGGTGATTGCACCTGCTCCATTTAAGATTGTTTGCAGTGATAACTTCTAGTTTAGGGCTCCTTTTTGGTAGAAATGGGTAGGATAAGCAATATTAATTACGTATCTGTTGGTTTCTGAACTTGTGTGAGAAAAACATTTCCGAATTATATTCTGATTTTTTTATTTTTTAAATTTTGTCTTCTTTTGAGGCAATGCAGTTCTTTTCACACAGGCAAGATGAGGAAAGTTAACATTTGGAATATTTGATAACCATTAAGATGTCGCTGGTGGTTTAACATCTAAGTTCTTCATATTTTGGACCTTTCTTTAGTTAAAAGAAACCCAATATTTTGTTTAAATAAATTATAAAAATTAAACCTCTATATTAATTGACATAATTTATAATGCAAATCTATCAGGCAACAAAGCCCTCTTTATTATGACTTTCTCTCTCCTAAATTGTGATTTTTTTTAACGTTTGCTAGAAATGCTTTTTTTAAAAAAAACAATTCAATGTTTCAGATTTAGTACCAATTAGCAAATTTCACCCACTCCCATAAGGTCACCTTTGGACAGTTATATGCATGTTAATATGTACTTTAATTTGCTCTCTGCAATATCTATTATGCCAACTCCTTGGATTGCTGCTCTTTTTCTCTCCTGAGGTCACTGCTTGTTAAATGTTGCTTTATTGTTGCACTGTTGCTATCACTGTTGTTTCCTTTCATTATTATTATTGCAGAAACTGGATAGATCTTTTGGAAAAAGCAAAAGCCCCTTTCCCCCCTTAGCTGGTGCTGATGAACCATCTGCATGTTTCTGGAATGGGATGGTAACCATATGACCTCTAGTGTACAAATAAGGAACTATGTGGAATTGTTGGGTGGATAATTAAACCCAAATCTTGATTGAGACAAGGAAACTTTGCTTATTACCATAGCTACTTAATTATTATTGGGTATTTATCTCTAATTAGAAATGCATCTCTCAAAAGTAGCAATAGTCATAGCTTTACTTAGTGCCCATAACTAAGCATATCATGGAAAATATAACTTGCAGTATCTTGTTTGCAAATAAAACTCAATTAAAAATTAAAACCAAATAATTCCTTGGCACAATATAAATATATCAACCTAGTTCAATAAATTAAAAACGAACTAGCACAATAAAATCAACTAAGTGCCATACAAACCTGTGACCATAAAATAAATGTAAATATTTCAAACTGTCAATAAGAAGACCCAACTGCTGTAATTCCAATGCTGTAGTGGAGGATGTGTGTGCATGCCATCCAACAAAAACCTGCAACTTTATTGTCATTTATTTTTTTTTTGCTACCACCAAGTAGTTAGTGGACCATAATTAGTCTGTCTCCTTTTGCTCTTTTCATGGCTCCAATCAAATAACAGGTCTTTTGCTTCCACAACGGTGTATTTGGCTTTGTGGTCTCTGATATTTTAGTTTGAATATTCATCTTCACGTTTCAGAAGTTGTCAACAGTTGGTTCCTTAAATTTCTGCTTGTCACTTCCCATTATATTCCATTTTTCCCCATTTTGCTGGATTAATTTCTGAAGTCATTACTCCTTCAGTCCTCACTGAAACTTGCTAACTGGTTTACTTTGTTTTGTTTTTAGGGTCTTCTGGGTTTTCTTCATTTTTCCTTTTTTTGATTTCACTGTTTTCTTCTCCATATAAAATAGTAATACAATAACAAGAGCATCATCTGTGTTTTATATACTGCAATAGATTATGCTGCTATTTTTCTGGAACTTGATATGCAAGAAGAGAAATCTGAGTATGAGACATGTAGAAGTCTAAGCTCAAGCTCAAAGCATCCAATTTCAAAATATATATCAAGGAGATAATTCTTGATCCACAGCTCCACACATCCTTTTGTTATCTTAGTGTTTAAATGGTAAGGATCACCTAGCTGCTGCATTTTCTATCACTTATGCTTTTTTTCCTGTTGACAATGACCTTATGTTTGTCACATCAAAATTAGACCAACTTGTAGACAAGAGATCATTGTAATTTGTCTGAATGAGGGTCTGGAAACTATTTCAATAACCTGCTTGGTTTATTATTCCAAAGGATATATTAATGATTTATCACCTAAAATACAAATACTGGTTGCTAAGCAACTGATTATACAACATACCCATGTCTATATCCAGATGTGATGGTTGTCTTACAATCCTTTTTGTGGATGTTACTTTTAATTGCTTTTTAGATCATAACCATCTGCTACTATGGCTGTTATCCTTTTTGGTGGCATTCCCTTTGGATAGGCATAGTTAGAAGGTTCCTCTATATTGGCAAAAGATGGGTAACACTATATATTACCTAATTCTGCGCTATTGCAATTGCTCATGGATAAGTCTCAGTCCTTTGTGAATCTCAGATTCAGGCAGTAACTCATGGCTTGTTGGGCCACATTTCGGACTATGATTTGATCCATCTTGATTGTTTATCCCACTTTCAGAAACCAGCTGCGGCAAAGCTGCAATATTGCCATGCAGAAGGTGGCTGTTAATGCTATCTCTATTAACCATTTAAAGTGTTGGATAACTACTGTTGTGCTGATATAGTAGTGAAAATAACACCTCAACGATTTCTGAATGAAATTTGAAGGTAGTATAAGTGATTATGGGAGAAAATGGCCTGAACTG